GCCGCTGTGGTAGCTATCCTCTGCTTTCGATTCATTTGCCACTAGAGCCACTGGAGCAGAGAATTCAGCACCCAGATGCACCATCATACAAGTCAAAGTGCACAAGGTCTGGGGTGGGGAAACCCGTCTCGCCTCTGACCCGGCAAACACACGCACAAAACGTGAGACTAATGCGGAGAGTGAAAACCGTGCGAGCAAAAATGACAGGGAGAGAAGGAAAGAAACAACTTCTCCTTTCCACACTGCAGTCAGGATTTTGAAAGATTGTGTCCAACTTTTACCTTATCCCGTGCACCATGGAGAGGGGAACACAGTAACCGAAGTCCATGATAGGCCAGCTCAGGAACGCACTTGGCTTCGTTGACATTCCTAAGCAAAACAAAGCAGAGGAGATGTCTTCATCTCTCATCAGAGAAACATTGACTACAATCATTACAGCTAAATGTGCTCATTGACTGGAAAACATTCAATATTCACTAAGTGTTGTTTACGGTTAGCTAGGTGGAACACGTTCTAATTATCTTTAGCAAAAGAAATCACTGCTTTCATTTTCATATAAACAGGGTAACAACACCACGAGCACCGAGCACTCCGCTTGTTCAAAGCACCGTAGAGGCATTAAAAAAATTATTTGCTCACATGGCTGCTGAGAACTGGAGCTTGCGTACCGCCGGCTCAAAGGTTGTCATTTCAACAAAGATCTGCAGGGAAAGAAAGCCAAGCTTCGCTCATCCACGCGAGGGCGAGACACGCAGGTCGGACCACAGAGAACCCGCGCCTCACGTCTGCGCCACGGTGCCTCCCTTGAAGCGGGACACAAGCAGACCAAAGCCCAGAGGCTCCGCACTATAGGTCTTACCCACGCCAAGATCGACACTGAGGCCCATCTAACCAGGGGACCAGGCTATGACAGGCAGGGCTGCCACCACTCCCGTGGCTGCGGGGCGTTCTGCACCCACCAAAAGCTCGTGTCAGGGGACACAGGGTTCCTGGAGTTGAGCCGTATTACCTGCAGGCAGTTCTGCACACACTGAGGTTTTTCTTTGAGGGAGAACTTCGGTAGAAGTCTTAGGAAGTTTTTCAGAAGAAGGAAGATGGAGTTGCGAACTTGAAGAAGATCATCCGTTGAGAAGTAAACATTTTCACAATCCTCCTCCTCCTCTTCCTCCTCCTCTTCCAGTGTCTCTTCCACCTATATTGGTAGAAAAGAGAAACTGCACCATCCTGTCCCACGGCACTGGCTGATCTCTTCCGCACGTTTCGGTGCTTCACAGAGTTCTCAGGCTAGGTCCTACGGGATTTCACAGCCAAAATTCTACAGCTTTTCTTTCCAACTAGTTAACGCACCTAACAGTGGGCAAGGGAACACAAATGCCATTTGCAAGCTGGTCACACGCTAACTTGAAGGTCTCTTGAAGAAGCTGATGGAAATTACTTTCTCCCTCTGCTACTGAGCTTTCTAGCAACACGCCACAAATAAGCTGTATTTTTTCTATTAGTCAGCCACCAGGAAACTGCGGCTAACGCTGAATCATCAGACCTCTGAAGTTCCTAATAACAGGTAGAGGATCAAGAGCACAACTGAACTGCTGAATCAAAGGTTAAGAATTTAAAAAAGGAGTGAAAAAGAGGAAGAGTCTCACACTGACCCAGAAGTGAGACAGCTTGCCAACAATTTGGTTATTAACAGAGATTGCACAAACATCTTACATTGCCATTCCTGCACGGTTTTCCTTTCTTTCTACTTCTTCTGCCGCTGGTCTGAGAGCTCTGAGTGTGCATCTTCTTTCTTTTCCTCACCAGATCTGGTTCTTGAGGCCAACATTTTGTCAGGGTGTGAAGACATTTATCAAACATCACTTGATGGAACAGCTGGTTGGCTATGCTGCCTGCCCAGGAAAGACACCGTCAGCCGTCTTCCAGACAAAGCACAGAGAGAGCATCAAACCACCTGGCCACCTCTCCGCTCGCCTGGACGGCCAAGGAGATGGCCAGGACAACGGCACTGCCCTGGCACCCTAGTTCATGAGAAGAAGACAAGGATTGTTTGAACAAAGCCCAACTGCATCGGGACGGCACGTGCTCCAGCAGGACCACCAGCTGACTGACCCCTTCCAGCTGGCGAGGAGCCGCACGGCCAAGCCCAGCGGAACTCTGGAGTACGTGCTAGTCTTGAGCACAGAGGGACGCTGCTGTGCATTACCTGCTCAAAACCCCCGTTACTGGGTATGTTAAACCAAGACTTTTGTTTTCACCAATGAACCTGTCCAAAAGCACGGCACAGCGAAACCCCCTCTGGTCACAGAGCGGGAATAAGCCCCTGCCTTCGCTGTGCACTGTCGCGCCAGAGGGATACGGGTGGCTCCAGCCCTGCGCTCTGTCAACCTTGTCACAATGCGGACCTGGACCCAGACCATGGGGCCACCTCGTGACAGCGGGGCGAGCTGCTGTCGGACCCTTACGGCTGCTCAGCCGAGCTGGATCCCCAAGGATTTCAGGGAGACCCAGCGAACAGCAAACACCATCACTTGTCCCACCTGGAATTCCGCTAAACCAGAGAAAGCTGTTTTTTGCCCGAACGGACAAGAACGAGGCGCACCCCGCGCTCACCTGGGACCTCCAGCAGCAGGAAGTACAGCCCCGCCGCCCGCAGAGCGCAGACCCTCTGCTGCGCGGGGGCTCGCTTGTGCTGGCCCGCCTGCACGAAGTGGTGCCACACGGCCACGAGCGCGCTGGCGGAGACGCCGCTCTCAGCAAACAGGCTCCAGACGTTCTGCGGCAGAGGACGCGCGACAGTCAGAAACAACGCGGTGACAGCACAGCTCTCTGCAGGCAGCGACTTCTCACACCGCCACTGCAGCCGACCCCCGACGTACGTTACGTAGTTTTAAAAACGCGCTTCAATATTTGTGCTTTAACAGATCTATGCCGTTTTTTTCTTTATATGATGTTAAATTACAAATGGCCAGCTTCT